TTTGAGATGGAGTTTCACTCTTGTTGCCTAGGCTGGAGTGCAATCGCATGATCTCGGCTCACTGCAACCTCTGCCTCCTGGGTTCGAGTGATTCTCCTGCCTCAGCCTCCCGAGTAGTTGGGATTACAAGCATGTGCCACCATGCCCTAATTTTGTATTTTTAGTAGAGACGGGGTTTCTCCATGTTGGTCAGGCTGGTCTCTAACTCCCAACCTCAGGTGATCCACCTGCCTTGGCTTCCCAAAGTACTGGGATTGTGAGCCACCGTGCCCGGCCTCTTTTTTTTTTGTTGTTGCGGAGTCTCGCTCTTTTGCCCAGGCTGGAGTGCAATGACGCAATCTCGACTCACTGCAACCTCTGTGCCCCCTCCCTCCTCCCTCCTCCCTCCTCCCTTCTCCCCTCTGTCTCCTCCTTTCTCCCTTCTGTCTCCTCCCTCCTCCCCCCTTCCTCAGGTTCAAGCGATTCTCCTGCCTCAGTCTCCCAAGTAGCTGGGATTGCAGTACCCTGCCACCACCTCTAGCTATTTTTTTTCCTATTTTTAGTAGAGATGGTCTTTCACCATGTTGTTCAGGCTGGTCTCGAACTCTTGACCTCAGGTGATCCACTCTCCTCAGCCTCCCAAAGTGCTGGGATTACAGGCGTAAGCCACCGTGCCCGGCTCTCTCTTGTTTTTTTTTTTTTTTTAAATCCACTTTATTGAGGATTAATTTACATATGTTTTGAAGAGGTTTGACAGACTTATACACACTCTGGTAAGTGCCATCATAATCAAGATATAGAACATTTCCATCATCTGTACTTATAAAATAGCAGCTTTATTGAACTGTAGTAGCTCACAGTGCTTACAGTTCACCCATTTTACATACATAGTTCACATATTCACGGTTGTGCAACCATCACCACTATTTTAGAGTGTTTTTAGCCCCAAGAGAAACCCCTGTATCCATTAAACATCACTCATCGTTCTCCCTATTTGCCCTCCTTAATGCATAAGCCCAGCCCTAACCAAGTACTAATCTGTTTTCTGTTTCCATCGATTTTACCATTTTGGGCATTTCATATATGTTGAATCATAGAGTATGTGGGCTTTTGTGACTGGCTTCTTTCACTTAGCGTATTGGTTTTTGCATGCTAATTTTAGATCCTGTTAACTCACTGGATACTTTTATTATTAGCTTTATCCTTGATTCTCATGATTTTTCCGCTATCAATATATGTTATTTGTAAAGATATATGATTTTGTTTCTTTTGTCACCCATTCTTTGCCTGCAATAGATTTATTTTATCTAATTGCATTTGCTAATACCTCAAAGGCAATGTTGAATAGTGTTAGAGATAGCGGGCGCCTTAGGCTTGTTCCTGACCACAGGGGAAACGCCTTTAGTGTTTCCCTGTTAAATAAGGTGCTGGCTATATGAATAAGGATTATGTATTTCAAATATTACAAAGTATCCCTCAATACTTATTTTTCCAGTGTTTGTTTTTTTAATCATGAATGAGTGTTGATTTTTGGCAGAGGGTTTCTTAGATCTATGGAGATACTCGTTTTCTTTAGATTTATTTATTAATATGGAATGTGATATAAATGGTTTTCCAATTTTGTAGCAACCTTGCATTCCTGAAGTAAATTCTACTTGGATTTGGTGTGTTATTTTCCTAATACAGTATTAGACTCTGCTAATAATTTGTTTATAATTTTTGTATCAGTATTCAGGAGAGATAGTGATCTTTAGTTTTTCTTTGTATTTTTTTTCTGGTTTAGGTATCAAGAGTTGTATTTACTTCATAAAAGGAATTGGGAATTTTTCCTTTTCTATGCTCTGGAATAATTTATAGAATGTTGGGATTATCTTGTCTTAGGTAGAATTTTTCTGTAACACTGTTAGGACCTAGTGTTTTTTGTGGGGTAATAATTCCTTAATAACCTTCTCTATATTTTCTATAGAGATTGACCTGTGTGTAAGCTTCCTAACTCTAATAGGTCAATTTTGGTAGTCTGTATTTCCTTAAGCATTTATCCATTTCATCTGGGTTTTCAAATTTGTTTACATAGATATTTGCAAAATAGTGTCTTATGATGTTTAAACATTTTCTTGCGTTTTAATGGTTATTTCCCTCTTGTTATTTCTTTTGCTGTATATATGTGCATTCTCTCTTTTTCTTGATCAAGTTAGCCAACATTTTTTCTATTTTGTTAATTTCTTTTAAAAAAACTAAGATATTTGCCAGGTACAGAGACTCACACCTGTAAGTTTACCACTTTGGGAGGCTAAGGTGAGCAGTTCAAGGCTGTAGTGAGCTATGATATGCCCTTCAGCCTGGAGAGACAGAGTGAGACACTGTCTCTAAAAAAGAAAAATCAAGGTTTTGATTCATGAATTAGATATTTTCTTTCTCTAGTCTCTTCCTCCTTAATTTCTGCTTCTAATATTATTATTTCTTATGATTTCTTTTGATTTACTTTGTTCTTCTTATACTTTTTTGTGAGCAGGAAATTTAATTCATTTATTTTTATTCTTGTTATTAAGTGTTTAGTGCAATGCATTTTCTTCTAAGCACTACTTTAATTACATCCTATAGATTCCAATATGTAGTGTTTTCATTGTCACTACTTTTAAAACAAATTATGTAATTTTTAACTCTTTTCCATAGAGTTGCTTAATATAGTTTAAACTTTTAAGTTTTCAGAGCTTCTCTGTTTTTTATTTTTATTTTTATGCTAGTAAATTCAGGTTTATTACATTGTGATCAGAGAGCATTGTTTGTGATGTCTTCATTTAATGGATGTTACTAGTGTTTTCTTGTGACCTATTTATCATCCTTTTTGTTCTTTTCACCTCAGAAACCATGCCATTGGAAGACTGCTCCTTTAAATCATGCTTGCCACTTTAAGCTGAGTCTCCATTATATTGCATGCTTGGCATTTTGTGTTGTGTCTGTCTCTTTAAATTTCTTCCCTATAGTCTGTACTCTGATCTGCCTAGTTATTTTTTTAGTATCTTCAGATGTAGAATGAATTTAATCTTAATGCTGGTCACTCCAGCTCTCTTGAGGCATTTTTTCTAGTGTTTCTATTTTCTCTTCCCTGCTGGCCAGAGCTCCTGTAGGTCTGGGGCATATGGCCTCATAGAGCTGCAATTTAATGTTTTTTTTTTTTTTTCTCATTTGACTTATAGTTATTTTGCAGCTTCAGCATCCTTTGCCTTAAAGTAATGTTGAGGGTGTGGGTCTTTTTGGGGGGAAGTTATTGCTACCTGCTTGCTATTGTCTTCAGCTACCCAGAAGCTCTGCATTAAAAGATTTTGAATTAAAAAAGTGATAGGGTCAGATTTAGTTAGTACGTGATGTACAGGGGAGATTGACTTAGAGGCAGTTTAGACAGAAAAAAAAATCTCAAGCTGAAAAATATATATTTTGTTTGCTATTCTTTCAGAACTAAATATACTTTGATAATTTATTAGGTTGGTGCAAAAATAATTGAGGTTTTGGACCTTGAGTTTTAAGTCATTATAGCTAAGCGCAGACACATCTTTATTGATCAAAATAGGAACCATTAAAATCAACACATTTTTGCCAACAAGAAATAAGTTTCTTTATTCCTGTAGCATAAAAATTCTGGCTTTGGGATTTGAGGAATACCTGGAAAGCATTTTCTGCATCCTGCTGGATGTGGAAGTATTCTATCTGCAAAAAGTTGTTGAGATGCTTGAAGAAGTGGTAGTTGGTTGGTGAGAGGTCAAGTGAATATGGTGGATGAAGCAAAACTTCGTAGTCCAATTTGTTCAACTTTTGAAGCGTTGGTTGTGCAACGTGTGGTAAGTTGCTGTGGAGAATTGGGCCCTTTCTGTTGACCAGTGCCGGCTGCAGGCATTGCAGTTTTCAGTGCATCTCATTGATTTGCTGAGCATACTTCTCAGATGTAGGGGTTTCTCTGGGATTCAGAAAGCTATAGTGGATTAGATTGGCAGCAGACCACCAAACACTGACCATGATCTTTTTTTGGTGGACGTTTGGTTTTGGGAAGTGCTTTGGAGCTTCTTCTCGGTCCAACCACTCCCACCTCCTAGTTCTCCTTCCCCTGGATCTGATCATGTTACCCGTGCCACAAAGGAATTGAGGGTGGGAGAGATTGGAGGCCAGAAAACAGTTAATGAGGCAGTTACAGTAGTCCAGTGGAAAGAGTGAAGGCCTGAACTAAGGCACCGGCAGTGGAGGCAGAATGGACAAGATCTCATGGCTTACCGAAAGAGAGAATTGCGGCCAAGTCTGAAGTCTCTGTGCTGGGCAACTGGATGGATAATGGAGCCACTAATGTCAGTGACCACCCTGCTGTGCCTGTGAAGCCAAGAATATAGTCAAAGGAAGGGGGTCCTGGGGTAGACTTATATTTAAACCAAGCCAGAAGTGCTTAAGTGCTTAGGTTTTACTCAGTGTTGGGGTGTACTTAATGTCTGTTTTTGTTTTTATTTTGAGACAGCGTCTTGCACTGTCTCACAGGTTGGAGTGCAGTGGTGTGATCTTGGCTGACTGCAGCCTCTGCCTCCCAGGTTCAAGTGATTCTCCTGCCTCAGCCTCCGAAGTATCTGGGACCACAGGCATGTGCCACCATGCTCAGCTAATTTTGTATTTTTAGTAGAGACAGGATTTCACCATGTTGGGCAGGCTGGTCTTGAACTCCTGACCTTGGGTGATCCACCCACCTTGGCCTCCCAAAGTGCTAGGATTACAGGTGTGAACCAGCATACCCAGCCCTTAATGTTAAGTAGACATTCATTAAATGTGTCACCCTCCGTGGGTAAAAAGATGAGTTATTCATTCAGTAATGTTTACTTAACACCTATCATGTTGTGGTCACTAGATCAGGTGTTCATGACACAGATAAATCAGACAAGTATTTTGCTCTCAAGGGATTTATTCATGAATAATGGAAATATAAACTGGTAGACATGAGTGTTGTAAGAATGAGCTGAGAATGGCCTTGATAGTCAAGTTCAAGGAAAGAAGAGGCATAGATGCAGGAAATCAGGGGACATGTATAGAGAAATCACTAGTGGGACAATGGGGGTTATCAAGAGCATTGGCTTTGAAGTCAGAAAGACATAATCCTTAGTTTTGTCATTTATCAGCAGGATAATATTGACCAAGTTAGTTAATCACTATTATTCTCAGTGTTCTTATTTGTAACATGGGGGTAATGGTTTCTACCTTAAAGGTTGCTGCAAAGATTAAATGAAGTAATATGTGTGGAGTGCCTAGCACGGTGTTTGACACAGAATGAGTGCCCAGTTAATGTTGGCATATTGAGCAGAGATGGCTTGAAGGGAAGATGGTGATTAGCATGTCTAGCACACAGTGAACATGTACTATTTATTGAATGAAAAGTAAGTTTTGGACCAGATTATGGAATACCTTGGAGACTCATTTTTTATAGTCACTGAAGAGTTTTGAATAGTGGAAAAAGTTTTTGGAGACAGATGCACTTCTGGAAGATAAACTTGTAAGCTGTTTGGAAAATGTACTGAAGTTTAGAGATTCAGGAGTAGGCAGATCAGCAACTTTTCTAACATTTCAAATAAGACCAATAAATCAGGCCAGCTCCCTGTCCTTACAGAACTTGAAAGAAACATTTATAATTTATATATAATGGAAGATGGTGAATGCTATTGTGGAAGTACAAATGAATGCTTTGGAAGTGGTGCATAATTTGGGGAATGAGAGAATCAGGGAAGGCTTTATTATGGTGGGAGCTCCATGAGATTTACACATGGGGCTGACATAGGAAAATTAGGTGGAGAAAATATGTGAGCAAAGCACTGAGTATGGATCAGTGATGTAGCGATTAGGAAGAACGACTGGGTCAGAGTGGGTGGAAAGAGGACTGGGAGAAAGATCTGAAACATAAGTCAGGAATGAAATCCATGAAATACACTGGAGCTAGTCTCAGCACAATACGCACAATGAGTGGAAGAAATTTGCCTGGGAGGTGTGTCAGTGTGTGTGTGTGTATGTGTGTGTGCGCGTGCGTGTGTGTGCTGAAAGGGTTAGGAATTAGACACATTTGAGGAACCACGAGGTTTGTGTAGTTGGAAGTGTAATGTCTGCTTGGAGTTGCACTTAGAAGAATGAAGCCTGTAGAGATAGACTGGAGCAAGATGTGTTATCTGGTATTTGTTCATTCTGTTGTTGGTCTTTTTGGGACTAGCCTGACAAATCAGAAACGGAAGACTGAACTAGCTGGATGATTTTCTAGGTACTTAACAGATTATGTCTAGTTTTTTTTTTGGTTGTTTTCCACATGTTACTAGTGAATTGGTAAACCAGTATTACCTGGTGATCAGAAATATAACAACAAGTGTAAAAATTCCCAAAGAGACCTCAAAAAATATTTATATGGTCTCATTTTCAGATACTAAATTCTTATATATGTTGACCTTTTCACTTTCTTCTTAAAAATTAGGTTTAATCCAGAAGGATGCAGCCAGAAAGTTTGATTTTCCCCTACCATTGAATGAAGCGTCCAAAATAATGAAGAAAAAGAAAAAGGTATAGTACTGTAAAAGAGAATGAGCAATATTTGAATTTTAGATCATCCTCTCTAAATACAAATGTATAAAGATATTCAAGACAGTGAAAATAGTTTCATCTTTTGAATAATTTAATTTTCTGAAATGAGAAAATAGAAGTAATTCAGCAGAAATGGAACTGGGTTTGGAGATATTTATTAACCATAAAGAATTGTTCTTTCAGTGTTTGAAGGTATAAAACACATTTTAATCAAAATGTAACCGTACTGGATGATTTTTCAAAGCATGATATATGTTCCATAGAATATAATAAACTGGGATATATAATGTAGTATAAGAAGAAAATCACAGATTTCATAGAAAAGAATAATGTATTTATATTGGTCTTTTTAAAGACAAGGAATATGTAATATATTTCTAGCAGGCAATCTGAGAAGGATGAACCACTGCTGCTGAACTGTTCTCACTGCTAGTTGTCCAAATGTCATGGCAACTTGAGTGTCTTGAACATATTCAAGATCATATGCTCTGCAAATCTTTGATTGCCACTGTATGTTTGTACTTCACAGCATAGTTTATAGTCAGTTAAAAGAAACTATTGGTTGTTAGTGACACATAACATTGTATTGCCTCTGAGCTTTGAGTTTGTTTCATGTCTGTATGGTATAAAATAGCATTAGAAGTGAATAACTCTTGTACCAAATGTATTTTGAGTGAGCATCAAATTTTCCCACTGTACTAAGAGATGTTTCTTCTGAGAACCAGTTCCTTTTGGGTGAGGAGAAAAGAGCAATGAGCAATACTTACTTTTAATTACTATGTGCCAGATACTGGGGTAAGTGCTTTATATATGTATTAAATATTTTTTCATTAATTCTTATAATCCAATGTATGAAGTTATTCCTAGATGTGATTAGAATACTCTCAAAATGTCAGACAACTGGAAAATGGCAAAGCCAGAATTTGAGCCTAGATCTATTTGTTTGATTCCATAATCCTCGTTCTTTCTATTCCAGTATATTTATATTCTCTAGTACTATTGCTAGGAGAAATACTTAATTATTAACTGGAATAAAGTACATTTAAAAATCAAGCCATTTCCCAATGGTTTAATCATTGGAATATAAATTCACAATTTTTAAAAATTACCTTTCAGAATGGAATGTGTTAGAATCAATTAGGTAGGATGTTATAGACATTGCCTTTGAAAGGAAACTTCATCCAGGACAGTTAATTTAAATACTACAGGGAGGAAGTCTAGGAATTTCGAAAAAAAGAACAGATAATTCAGATCATGGGTAAACAATTACACTTGTTTTAGTTCTGTAAATGCTAGTATTATAATAATGATATAAATTGACATACAACGCAGTTGAATCATCCCCGGTTGCCTCTATGAAAATATATTCCTACTTTTCTGCTCAGCATTCCTTTACTGTGCTTATCTTCTTAAGGTTTTAGTATGGAATAGAGTACACAAAGTCATTTCAAGAATGCTTGAAGAAAATGAAAAATACAGACACAGGCTGAAATGCCAAAGATTATCCAGTGAAAGTAAGTTAACACAGTTTTTATTGTATTAAAGAAAGCCTCTGTAACAGTTCAGTTATCCTGGGATTGAATGAGATCAGCAGTTTTCTTAATGGTCACATGTAATATATACTATATAAATGAGGCTACCATGTTGTCACTATTCATCATATTAGAAGTACAGAGCACCTACAAGCAGTGAGTGCAGAGGAGATCACAGGTATAGGAGTCAGTGGAGGAGTGTAGAAGGTGCATGTTGACTGGAATTTACTGAGTAAAGGGAACATACTTTTCTGTTAAATGTGAATCTTAATGCCAATTAAAAAATACAAATTACAAAGCTCATCAGTATTGATGAAGAAAAACATTTTAACTACAATATGGAATTACACATTGTGTCACTTCATGTAGTCATTTCCTTTCCATGGAAGCTACGGTCCCACTTAATGCATTTTACAAAATCTGCCCTTGATTTATGGCCTTGATGTCATTATTTCATTCTTGGAAAATAGCTCATGAATTAAACCTATGTTCTAAAGCTGCATCAATATTGAGTTGATATTGTGGTTAGAGCGAAATTAGGTGTAGTCTAGTATGTTTATTAAAATAATTTGTAGTTCTGGATTTTCAAAAAGTTAAGGTGGATAAAATTTATGTAACTGGTAATGCCATGTGCATTAAAAAGTCAAAACTTATCTTTCCTTAACATGCATGTCCTGATACGCATGCTATCATGGATGTTTCTGTGAGTTCTTAATATAGTCATTCTATGGCAACTTCTATTTCATATCAGTAAACCTGCAGTATTTAATTTCATGAAGAATATTTCCATAAGATAATCATGAAAACAATGCCATTTTGCAAGCAGTGGAAACTTATGGTTCATATGATGTTGCATCAGTGGTAGCATGAATTGTTTGCAATAATGGCAAATTCGTGATAATTTGTTTCACTTTTCTTATCCATTTAAGGAGAATGAGGTGGGGGGCTGATAGGAAAAAGAAAAGTAGTCAGAGGTAGCTTAAATTAAAAGGATGTTTGAGTAGGCAGAGCAATGTGCAAAAAACCTGGACATATTTCTGAGTGCTTATTCAGATCAGCACATAACTTTGAATCTGTTGGGTTCTTTTCTGCCTCAGCAAGAGACTTTCTCTTAAATGTGATCTTGTGAGGATTATTTAACAACTTAAAATAATATGCTGTGTTTTCCATAAACAGCCTCTTGTAAACAGAGGTATCCTTATATAGTTCATTATTTTGCATTACAGTGTTAAACTAGATTACAGAACTTCTTTATAAAGCTAATAATTATGTCTAAAATGTATTATAATATTTATTCCTTAATATGTATTTATTAGTGGGAAAAACCAGTGCTAGAGGACAACTTAAATTTTCCTTATTTTTTATGTTGTTTGCAGACTCAAATTACACAAGGTGAATCTTCTTATCTTCTGTTAAGAATCTATTTACGTAATAATTGTATAGATTTTTTTCTCTTCCCTTCTATATCCTCCCTTCTCCAAACATTACTGTATAACCATTGGTAGTTCCAGCCTATTTCCTTTCTTAAATCCAATGTCTGGCACACAATAGACACTCATTAAAATACTTATTGACCTTTAAAACTTCATTTGGGCCCCATCTCCATCATGCTATTAGAAATTCTCTCTCTGTGGTCCATGTTTTTCCTTCTTCTTTTTCTTTCTTTTCTATTGTATAGTCTGAGGGCAGAATCTTCTTTTTGTTCATACCTCTACTTAGTTCTCTTTTCCTTTGAACATACTGTCATATTTAATACTATCTTACTACTGCTGCTTTTTATTTCTTACTGTCCTGCAGACTGTGTCATGGCCCTCATGCTGCCTCACTTACCATATTTACCTTTGCTACCAACTAATAACAAATGCTGTCCTAGGAGTAATTGTTGGTCCCATTCTCCCTTTACATATTGACTCTGGAATAACTCACAGATTTTTGGAGCTTCGACTACTCTTCTTGGGTATAGTACCCTTTCATCTCCATCCCGCCTTTGACCTTTGGTCGTGTACCTCTGATTTTCTTTAGGCTGTTCTACTATTACTTTTTTTTTTTTTGTCACCACTGCTGAAATCTACATACAGTTAACAGTTACTTTTTGTTTTTTTAAAAGAGACATGGTCTCACTCTGTACCCAGGCTGGAGTATAGTGACTCGATCATAGCTCACTGCTGCTTCTAACTCCTGGGCTCTAGTGATCCTCCCACTTCAGCATTCCTTCCTAAGTAGATAGGACTACAAGTGCACACCACCATGCTTGGCTAATTAAATTTTTGTTTTGTATAGATGGCGGTCTAGCTATGTTGCCCATGTTGGTCTCAAACTCCTGGCCTCAAGTGATCCTACTGCCTCAGCTTTCCAAAGTGTTGGAATTGCAGGCATGAGCCACTGTGTCCAGCTGAGAGTATATTTTAGACATGAAAGTGAACAAATTTATGCAGTCAAGAAAACGATTAGGAAATGTTTACTTTGAATAAAGATTAACACGATAACCTAAGAAAGATATAAAAGTATATTGAGATAGTATGTCAAAGAGTCTCACATGAATTTTGGGCTGAGGATTTGTACTTCATTCAGTAGGGAAAGAAGAAATGGACCACTTTCTTAACCTTTTATTCTAAATGATTTCAAATGTACAGAACGATTATTAGACTAATACAAAGTACTCCAGTAAACTCTTTACCAAGATTCACTGTTTTTTAGCATCTTGCCATATTTGTTTGCTCATTCTTATTCTCTCTGTGTGTATAAATACTTCAATGTGTATAACTTAAGAGCAAGGGTATGTTTTGCATAACCACACTATAGTTATCAAATTCAGGAAATTGAACATCAATATCCTTAATCTGTAGCAGTTTGTCAGCCTTTCTTTGTCTTTTGTGATATCGATATTTTTGAAGAATACAGGCCAGCCATTTTTCAGACGATTCCTCAAGGCTTTCTGATGACTACTCATGATTTGATTCATGTTATGCATTTTTTGGCTGGAACATTGTATATATAATATAACTTTCCAGAGGATCACATCTTGAGTTACCTGATCTTCACTGATCCCTTATTGATGATGTTAACTTTGAGGTCTTGGTTACGTTGTTATCCATTTGTAGTTACTATTTTTTCTTTTGTAATAAGTATTTCATAGAAAGATAAGAGAGTATGCAAATATCTTGTTCTTTATGAATATATATAATATTTTAAAGCAGTGGAGCTATCAGATTTGCATTTTAGAAAGAATATGATGTCATTTGTGGAAAGATTTGGAATGGAGTTGAAATAGGTGAAAAAGAAAATCTGAGGATTGTAATAGTATCCACGTGAAAAGTAAAATGCGCTTAAATGAAGGTTGTAGAGGGTGCAGAGAGAAGGCGAATGATCAGGTATGGGGATAAGATGATACTGAGTTTTGAGAGTAAATAAGAAGTCAGGAGAAAGGACTCATTTTATGAAGGTACTGAATTTTACTTTTGGCATGTTGAATTTTAGGTAATAGTGAGGTACCCAGGTGAAAATGCTAAGCAAGTAATTGGAACTGTTGTAAGGGAGGTAGTGTGATATCTATAGTGTATAAAGGTCATATGTAGTTCTAACAGTAGATGTAGATTAAGACTTTAATGTGAAGAAAGAGAGAGAGGAGAGGACTGAGTACAGAGTATCAGGCAATGCTGAGGATAAAGAGGAATTTTTAGTTTCGGAGTCAGGGATTCTAGGGACTTAGGAGTAATGAGAGAGATGATTGTGGGGCTGAGGAGGGGGACAAATGAAATTTGCGGGAGATCAAGGGATTGGGAGTTCAAAGGAGGGCAGAGACCTTATTTAGTGAGAGTATAGGGGTATAAAAAGTCGGAGCATAAAAATATGTCATTTAGGAACATTTGAAAAGTTTCAGCACCTAGAGGTAAAGCACAAGTTCCAGTGATGACAATGTCTAAGCCATGGCCTTGCTTGCGAGTAAGTGGCCTGGAGGTGGAGGCCTGTGATACAGTGTTTCTGTGACACATTTCTTGTAAACGGGACTGTTGAAGTCACCAAGGGTATTCGCAGGAGTTGGAGTGGAAAAGAAAATTATGAGTTACACATTGAGTCTGTTGGAAACTTTTTATGTTCAACAAGAGAAAGTAAAAGTCATTAAAACAGTAACTACAGGGAATGTCTAGCTCTTGCATTATAGCCTTCAAAATGCTAAAAATTTTCATTGACTACTGATGATGATATTTTGTATTAAAAAGAATTCAATTTTGTCATTTTTAAATTTAGGATTACCCTGTCCTTGGATGTTTCCAAAAGAAGATTATGAAGAATCTAAAGATGAAACATTAAATGAATCATAATTATTTGTTAATTTTGATGTGCTTTATTGGAATTGGGACTTTAGTAGTCGAATAGAAAAACTACCTTCTTTATAAATTAATAGTATTTATTTGCAACTTAATAATACCTTTAGTTAAATATTGTTACCACATGCGTGCAAGTGTTATTTTCAAAATTTAGATTAGCATATCAATGTAATTGCATGAATTTTGTAATTGCCAATGTAATTGCATGAATTTTATAATTGCCAGCTTTTTCTTTTTATTAATGAGTCTACAACCACTGCTTTGTTCATCTCTTCTTTTAGATGTAACTTTTAAATTAAACTTGGATTCATTTAAATTATTTTTGGCCTCCTCTAAACTTCTCAATTATTTTATGAAAAAAACTTAGAATTTACATAGCAACAATTATTTTGGGTGTTAAAACTAAGCTAATGATTATTTAAGCCGTCTTTTTATCCTAAGGAAAATTAGTAAATTTATACATTTATAACATGGATATATTATAAAGGACTATATTATAATATGGAGTATTTTAGGAACATTTTTGGGCAAAGATCAGAGGAGATGCTCTTTCACCTTGCCCGGCCCCTAAGTAATAGATAGATATGTTATTTATTTTTTTATTTTTTGACATTTAAAAGATTTTTATCAGGCCTGCGACACATAAATGAATTTTTGACAGAAGATGTAAAAAATATTTTTAAAAACCCAACCATTGCTTGTTAACAAAAAGTGCAGAGAAGCTTTTTGAGCAGACACCACAGTGACCCTTCCATATGAGCACTTTTTCTTATGCAGGAAAAAATGGATTCTTTCTCCATATATTTACAGCTAGTAGGAGTAAACTCAGGGTTTTACACAATCCATTTACCACATTTGAATGCTGCAAAATGTTATTTTAATGAGAGGATTAGAATTCTGAAAATCATTTAGAAGTATTGTTTAACAAGTCCTTATTTTCTATTCAATATTAAGCAGTAATCAACTTCTACCTCTGCCAGCTTTTCTGCTTTTTTGCTGGTGTGATCTCTGTTCCTAAATTGAATCAAAGGCCTAGTGGAACTGGAAACTTAGGAGGGAAAGACAAAATGAGGCTTGTTCATGATCGAACTCTGTGTAGTCTAGTTGCTTCTTCCCCTTGAAGTGGCAGGTACTTTTATATCCAGGATGATTACAGTGATGACTTCCATTCTTTTTTGGGGGCATTGAGAGGGTGGGCTTCCTAATTATTTTACAAAGCTATTACGAAGTGTCAATATACAAAATTCTCATGAAATAGTACAAGTTGTAAGAACTGTGAGGCAATTCATAGTTTTCTTTCTTCCTGTAATAAATTATAACTTGATTACTTCAGGAGACTACAACAGTGTAGAATTTGTGGTAACATGTTCTAGTGACTGTTCAACAAATCCACCTGTTTCTAGATGGAAGGACACATTGCCTGGGGAAATGGGCTAGGTTTTTTTTTTTTTTTGCCATGTGGGCTCTCAAGTTTCCTTGCATGAAGAGTCACACAACCTCTTTATATTATGCTGGGTAAATTTTCAGGCTGCTAAATCCTTGGGTGAAGCTTAAAATTTTAGCTTTTGCAACTTAAGTCTGTTGCAAAATGACACGTATTTACACTGTTTATAAAGTAATTTATGCTGCATAGTTTTGTGGTGAATGTGAATGAGGATTTTAGGTTTGCTTCAGTGTATATTTTTATTTATGTGACATACAACATGGCATAGTAGTCTGTTTTATGAGGTATATCAATATTATATTAGATTTAAAATAAGAGTCTAGTGCTGGATACAAACTCAGTTTGTTTCATTGTTTTAGAACCATGTAGGAATGAAGACTCCCACTAAAATGAATGTTCTAAATATTTGTTCTAAATCTTTTAATTTTTGTTTAATAATTTCTGGTGAATATGTGTTCAATCTGTTATGTTAAATAGAATAAAATAAACATAAGACTTTACTGATACATCACTGAACATCAGCAGTAATACTGTGACTTATTTCTGTTCTGTAATTTCAGTAAGGGCCAATGACCTACCCCTGCTACATTAAAGACTTCAGACTGCAATGTAGTCCTGCCTTCTCTTCATCTTCAGCCCAAC